CCCCAAAACCCCAAAACCCCAAAACCCCAAAACCCCGGGTTTATGAAGAATAATAGAAAATGGAGGATTGATTAGAAAAGAATGGATTAGTGCGATTTAGGAAAGAATTGGATGGGAAGAATGAACAGAAGATGGCTTTGAAGGTAAATTTAGATAGAGAGAGAAAAGGAGGGTGTAATTATATTCTACAAACTTTTCGGGTATTTTTTAAAACTAAAATCGCATGATTTTCTCTTAAAATTAACTTTCATTTTTGTAATTTATTAAAACACAGAAAAACTTCTTTTATTAATTAAATTCCTTGGCTAAGCACATTGCTTAATTTAAGCTTTCAGATGCCAATACTACAGTCAGTATACTCCTGAAATCTCTGATTTCCTACCTTAAACCTGAGGAACCACAAAAATAATTTGATTGAAGGTTAACAAAAATTTAGGATAAATTCAATAAACCTAATGAAAAAAGAAATCTCAAGCTAAATCAGACAGCGACAAACAATGTAAAGAAAGAATACGACTGCAGCCTTCCAACTGAGTAAGAATCTTCATAACATTATTAATTACTGATAACCAAAATGTGTATAAGTAATGTTATTATAGAAGAAGAATACTGTGAGCCAGTCCACCCTCATCTCTTTCTAAATACAGAAAGAAGCTACCCAAAACAACTTTGAGGATGCATGGAGAAAAGAAGCAAAAGGAACAAAGGGGAAGAATTTTGTCACCAATTTCCTTTAAAATCCTACACCCAAACTTACTATCTCTGGAATTAAAGGGCAATTCAGAAAAGTACAAAATAACTCGGAAGATGAGGAAGACTCCTCTGGATAACCTAAAGAGTCGGATTAGGTCATTGTCTCCCAAAATGAAGAGATTAACCCAACAAGCGTTTAGTAACACCTCTGTTAAGAGCACGAGGATGAAGAAATGAAAGAAGAAAAGCAAAGCTGAAGAATACGAGAAATTAAGCAATCATCAAAGCATCCCATTTGAAGAGGATATGCAGAAAGTTTTTGGATACATGATGACTAAGTTCGACTCCTTCCATTCAAAGATATCTGACTTGAAGTCTAGACCTGGTTTATGCAGGTCTCCTTTCATCTTAAACCGTAAACTTGAGAAACTCCAATCAAGCAAAGAAAAACAAGGATCTATTAAGATGAGCAATTATAGGACTAGGTGTAATGTCAAGACTTCAATAGTTTTCAGTAATAATTTCATGAAAGACCATAGCTTAAAGGAGCAAGGAGGAAGGAATCAAGCAGTTGAATCCAGCTTAAAAATAACTTCATATTAAAACTATTTTGTACATCCTTACTTCTTTTTACATCTGAAGGGTTTGTTGGCAAAGCATGCAATTTTATTGAGCCTACTTAAGAGGGGGTCAAAATAGGCTTGCAAATCAAGAAAGAATACCTCCTTAGGGTATTTGTAAGGATTCTCTTCACCAAAACATCTTATAAAATCAGCAATGTTCTACTGATTTACGTTATTATTACCAGATGAAACTTATTCGAATTTCTGAAAGATTCTCACCAAACTAGTGAAAGCATGCTTCCTTGTAAGTTTATTGTAGCCAAAAGAAAACAATGGAGGAGTAAACAGACTTTTATTAGGTTTTAGCTTTGCTTAGAGGAATGACTGCTGCAATTTACAATGATAATCTAAGTACTTAAAACCTTCACTAGCAAGAGCTATGTCCTGTTATTCCCTTCTTTCTCTTAGTATTGACATAAAGGTGTTCAGAATAGCAATTAAGGAGGTCTTTAAAGCCCTTTACCATCTTCTGTTTTAGTTTCAATTTGCACTGGAAGTGTCAAAAGAATTGGAGTGATCAGAGCTCAAAATTAGGAGAGAATGCTATTTTCTTAAAATATTGGAACTCTTAATTTCAAAGAGTATTTGACAATATTGCTAGGTGACTCTTCAAAAGCTTCCTAGATATTTGGTGATATGGAACCCCATTTTTAAACCTGAAGTATGATGGTAAGGCATTATGATATGAAAGAAAGTTGTTAAAAATTCCTGATAGCTTATTTACACATAGAAATAATATAAAAGATTAAATATGGAGAAGTTTTATGGTAATCGAATTAAGGAAAGTTCAGATTCTCTGATTTAGTCAGCTATATTTGAGTATTTTCTGATACTAAGTACTTAAAACAATTTTTACGAAATTCAGTATTGATTCTAGAAGATATTTCATCACCTTATTTATTTTACAAAGTCTTAATTTCCTCCACCAAACCCTTACTCCTCCGTTTCAATACCATCTCCAACATGCGGGGTTTTGGGGTTTTGGGGTTTTGGGGTTTTGGGG